CATCAAACTCTTAACACATACTTCATAATTCACATTATTTGAATTTTTTTTTCCATATAATGTTATAATGAAAATAGAGAAATTGTGAAAAGAAAAATAAAGAACATGTGAATGCTTGCTAATTATGAATGCATATAAAATATCAAAGCAATGTTTTTTATCAAATAATTTTACAAATTGTATTTTCAGTCAGATTGACCTTGCTGTGTCATTCTTAACATTGTTAGCAGTGCTAGCAATAGCAGCAACAACGTGGAAAATGGCACTGCCAGCTGGATATATATCGTCCTGAATAAAAATCTTGAGAATTTGGAAGATTATGGGCAATATGAAATTTTGAAAGGGTACTGTTATATAGCCAGAAATTAATGCTTATTATATAATAAAATTCATAGATAATGGCATTTTATTTTTATTTAGGACTTTCATGCATATAACAATTGTTAGCAAGGTACCCTCCTCTGAAACTATCCAGGATTCCTTAGGAAAGACACTTGAATACTTTTTGTCCAAGTTACTTACCTTAGATGTTTTTTTGATAACTTATTCTTTGGAAATTCTTCTTTTTCTTTTCACTTTTGTTTCACAATCTCCTTTCATGTGTCTAGTGTTTTTCACTCTAGGCAGTGCAGAACCTAATACTAAATTCACTTAACTAATTTCCCTCTGGAAAGAAACCTACAGAATCCCAGTACTACAGAATTCAGACAGTGATAGAGATTTGAGATTTGAATGCATTGTTTGCGGACCCACCTTATTGATACTGATATGCTTTTTGTTTTTTCACAAATGCCATTTTTCACCAAAAGGATAAAGGGCTGATGCCTCTACATTTTACAAGCATCCTGATGACTTTGGCTTTTACATTTGGATAGAGTTCATGTTGTGGAATAATTGATATTAAAACAGTTAATTCCAAATCATGTTTTTCTGTTAGAATATTAAATTCACAAGTGCACTCTGATTTCCAGTATATCACCACCACCATATCACCCACTGATGTTAAGTCAATTCCAAGTTATGGTGACCCTTTCTAGTATATGTTGTTGTTGTTAGGTGCTATCGAGTCAGCTCCAACTCATAGCGACCCCATGTACTGCAAAAGGAACACTGTTCTGTCCTATGCCATACAATCCTCACTATATAGGAGCTCATCATTGCAGCCCCTGTGTCAATCCATCTTGTTGATGGTCTTCCCCTTTTTGGCTTACCCTCCACTTTGCCAAGCATGATATCCTGCTCCAAGGAATGGTCGCTTCTGACAACATGACCAAGAAAGTGAGACAAAGTGTAACCATTTTCACTTCCAAGGAGCATTCCAGCTGCACTTCCTCCAGGATAGATTTGTTCATTCTTCTCTCAGTCATAGTACTTTTAGTATTCTTTGCCAAAGGCACACTCAGAAGTGTCAACTCTTCTTAAGTCTTCCGTATTCATTGTCCAGTTTTCACATATATATGAGACAACTGAAAATATCATAGCTCAGGTTAGGTACACCTCGTTGTTGTTGTTGTTGTTATGTGCCATCAAGTCAGACCTGACTCATAGCAGCCCCTCCTTGGATTTCCAAGGCAGTATCACTATGGAAGTGGATTGCCCCATCTTCCTTCCAAGGAGTGGCTGGTGGATTTGAACCGCCAGCCTTCTGGTTAGCAGTCAAGTGCCTTAGGCACCATGCTATCAGAGCTCCCAGGTATACCTTAGGCTTCAAAATGACATTTTTGCTCTTCAACATTCTAAAGAGACCTTTAGCAGCAGATTTGCCCAGTACAACATGATGTCTTATTTCTTGACCGATACTTCCATGAATGTTGATTGAGAATGCAAGTAACATGAAATCTTTGACAACTTTAATATTTTTTCCATTCATCGTGATGCTGCTTTTTGGTGCATTTATGAAGATTTTCATTTTCTTTATGTTGAGATGTAATTCATACATACATGAAGTCTTTAATCTTCATCAATAAGTGCTTAAGGTCATCTTTACTTTCAGGAAACCAAGATTTTATCCTATGCCTATCATAGGCTGTTAATAAATCTTCCTCCAGTTCTGACACTGAGTTCTTCTTCACATAGCCCAGTTTCTTGTATTATTTGCTCAGGATACAGATTGAATAAATGTAATAAATGGGTGCAACCCTGACACATACAGCCTACTTGATTTTAAACCATGCAATATCCCTATGTTCTGTTCAAATGATAGCCTCTTGGTCTACATACAGGTTCTTCATGAGCACAATTAAGTGTTCTGGAAGTTTCATTCCTCTTATTGTTATCCATAATTTGTCATGAACCACACAGTCTAATGCTTTTGTGTAGTCAATAAAACAAAACTAAACATCTTTCTGGTATTTTGTTTTAAACCAAGATATCAGCAATGATATCTCTCATTTTATGTCCTCTTCCTAATCCAACTTGCATTTCCTGAATTTGCATGTCAACATACTACTGCAATAATTTTTTAATTATCTTCAGCAAAATTTTAATTGTGTGTGATATTAATGATATTCAAGAATTTCTACATTCTGTTGAATCATCTTTCTTTGGAATGAGGACAAATATGGACTTCTTCCCATCAGTTGGCCAGGTAGCTGTCTTCCAAATTTTTTGGCATAGACAAGTAAGCTCATCCAGGATGGTATTCTTTTGTTGAAACATCTCAATGGATATTCTGTCAATCTCTGAAACTTTGGTTTTTGCCAATTCGTTCAGTGCAGCTTCGACTTCTTGCTTCAATACCATTGTTTCTTGATCGTATGCTGTCTCCTGAAATAGATGAACATTGACCAGTTCTTTTTTGTACAGTGACTGTGTATTCCTTCTATCTTCTTTTGATGTTTCCTGCATCATTCAATATTTTGACCATATAATTCTTCAATACTGCAACTGGAGACTTTATTATTTTTTTTTTTTTTCTTCATTTCCTTAGCTTGATAAATGTTGAGCGTGTTCTTCCCTTTGGGTTTTCTAACTCCAGGTCTTTGCACATTTCATTATAATAATTGTCTTCTCAAGCTGTTCTTTGAAATCTTCTCTGCACCTCTTTTATTTTGTCATTGTTTCCTTTTGCTTTACCTATTCTATTTTCAAGAGCAAGTTTCAGAGTCTCTTCTGACATCCATTTTGGTCTTTTCTTCCTTCTTGACTTTTTAATTACCTTTTGCTTTCTTCATGGATGATGTTCTTGATGTCATACCACCACTTGTCTGTTTTTCAGTCATTGGTGTTCAGTGAGTCACATCTGTTCTTCAGATTATCTCTTAATTCAGGTGGGATAGAATAAAAGTCATATTTTTCTTCTCATGTACTTGTTTTAATTTTCATTAGCTAAACCTCGAGCTTGCATATGAACAATTGATGGTCTGTTCCACATTCAGTTCATTGCCTTGTTTTGGCTGAAGATACTGAGCTTCTGTATCACCTTTTTCCACAGATGTAGTCGATATGGTTCTTGAATATTTCTTCTGGAGAGGACCACTTGTATAACTGCCATTTATGTTATTGAAAACAGTTAATTGAAATGAATAAATCATTGGTCTTGTAAAATTCTGTTGTGCAATCTGTGGTGTCTTTTCTATCATCAAGGCCATGTTCTCCAAACACTGGTGATTCTTCTTTGTTTCCAACTTTCACATTCTAATCACTAGTAATAATCAATACATCTTGATTACATGTTTGCTCAATGTCAGACGGCAGAAGTTGCTGAAAATCTTCAATTTCCTCATCTCTGGCTTTAGTGAGTGGTGTGTAAATTTGAATAAAATTGTATTAACTAATCTTCCTTGTAGACATATAGATATTATCCTATAATTGATATCATAGTGTTTCAGGATAGATCTGAAACATTCTGTGTGGCAATGAATGTGACATCATTTCTCTTCAATTTGTCATTCCAGGCATAGTAGATCATATGATTATCTGATTCAAAAAGGCTAATGCCAGTCCATTTCAGCTCACTAATGCCTAGAATATCAATCTTTATGCATGCCATTTCATTTTTGACAACTTCCAATTTTCCTACATTCATACTTCATATACTTCACTCTTAGATTATTATGGATGTTTGCCACTGTTTCTTCCCATTTTGAGTCATACCACATCAGCAAATGGGGTTTCTGAAAGCTTTACTCCATCCTCGTCATTAAGGTCAACTCTACTTTGGGAGGCAGCTCTTCCCCAGTCATATTTTGAGTGCTTTCTGACCTGAGGGGCTCATCTCCGGCACTATATCAGACAATGTTTCAGGACTATTCATGAAGTTTTCCAGTAATGTATCAGACAGTGTTTCATTGCTATTCATAAGGTTTTCACTGGCCAATTCTTTGAGAAGTAGAAGGCCCCTTCCTTCTTCAAATATGTCTTAGCCTGGAAGCTCCACTGAAACTGGTCCACCATGGGTGACCCTGTTGATATTTGAAACACTGGTGGTATAGCCTCCAGCCTCACAGTAACACACAAGGCATCACTGTCTGACAAAGTGACAGATGAGTGGTGGACAACCCTTGAGTCAAGGGCTGACTTTCAATAGGTCATAGCGAGGGAGCTGCTCTGTTATGTGCAAAATCCCTATTCATATAACATATACGTGCATTTAAAGATCTAAACTTATTATATCTTAAAAATAGCATTTGCATAACAGCTATAACAGCATAACAATTCTTAGTTTATTCATACACTAATACATATTTTCTGCATTATATCTAATTGACAAGCTACAGATAAACTTCAATGCAATAAAAGAAACATAAAAATGTAAAATACTTTGAAACTTATTCAATCTACCTCATATATCTTAACATTTGAAAAAAAAATTAGATGGAAGAAAGCAAACAAACATAGTTTTAGTTTGTATTGACTTATTTTAAAGGAAACAAAGAGTCTTGACTTTCCTGTATGATTTGCATCTGGTAGGTTGTTTTGAGTTTTAGAATATAGGTATTAGGTGGCAATTTATTTACGAGCAGCAATATGATGATGTTAACAGCATTTCATAGACTTACCTGTATAACCAGAAGTACAGAGACATTTATATCGTCCAGTTCTCTTAGCACAGTTTTCTCCATCTTGACAAAGTGAGGTTTTACAGTCACTCACATCCAATTCACAGAAGCATCCATGGAACCCAGGTACACAATTACATAAAAATCTAAAGAAAAGTGGGAAATGATAACTAAATAAACATGTGATAATGAAAAATATGCCTTACATACAATATATATTATGCATAATGTATATATATCGTTCATATGCATATATTTCATTGCAGATTTTGACTTAGTGTAAGAAAATGCTAATATTCCCACTTCATTTTTCTTTTAAAATAGAAAACACAGAAATTGATCTTCTAATATATTGTTCCCTTCAAACATTCCTTACATGAAAAATTAAAGGAATATGTTTGGGTAAATGATAACTGGAACCTAGACAATTACTTGACTGCTAATGAAAAGGCTGGCAGTTCAAACCTGCCAGCCACTCTTCAGAAGGAAGGTTGGACAATTTACTTCCATAGTGATACCACCTTGGAAACCCAAGGAGGTGTTGTTATTAGTCAGGTCTGACTCGATGGCACATAACAAGAACAACAACAAGACAATTATTATTGATCTTAATATTGTAACTGTATTCTCTAATCTTATATCTATGAGGAATAAGTCCTGCAGATAAGACCAGACAGCCATTGTTTTCTCTGTTCCTCATTCTGCTAGTAACTTTAGGCCTCAGAACAAACCACCCCCTCATTGAGGCCTGATGTTTGTTAGAAATTTGAAAAACATACAATTCTAGGTTAACCATCTCCCCTTCTCAGGAAGTCAGGAAGGCATGACACAATAAGATATTTTTTGTTGTTGTTATTTGCCATCAAATTGGCCCAGACTCATAGCAACCCCTCCTTGGGTTTCCGAGGCAATATCACTATGGAAGTAGGAATGTCCAACCTTCCTTCCAAAGAGTGGCTGGTGGGTTTTAAAAGGATACAATGTCACTTAGGTTGGAGGTATAAAATATTTGAGAGAGGATGTTTTTCTGAGTCTCCTCAGCTATGGTGCAAGTGGGACACACATAGAATAAACTTCCAGTTCACCTATGTGAACCTACATGGCTGGAAGGAGACTGGCAATAGGCAGTGTCCCATTTCAGTCCCTCACCCATGACACAAAGTGAGATGTGCATGGAAGAATCATTATCTCTGCACAGACAACTTTTGAGAAGGATCTCATTATGGAAATTTTCTGGTTGTATGCTGTCTGATTCTTGTAAGTTATAAAAGTTAATTTCCATGTGCTAATGTGTTTCAGGATCTGGTCAGAAGGACTGGATGCTTTTGGAGTAATCCCTATTAGTTATCAGTGCCCCTTTTCTACCAGACTCCTGGTTATCTAGAAATCAGATTCAACCTGTGAGAACCAAACAGTTTTGGAATAGTGTCTCACATTTATGGTATTGTCAGACAAGATACATCCTACAACTAAACTGCATTATTCTGCCCATGAATTGATAGATAATTTTATTATATCAAAGCTCTCTTGGTTAATTCTTTTAAAGTTTTATTTTAGAAGAATCATTATCATTTATGATTAACTATATTGGCAGCTGTTGGAAAAATCAAATATTATTTAATGGTTATATATTAGGTTAAAAGTGCAGTGAACCTCATGAAGTGAATCTCTAAGAGCTTTGAGATGATAAGATTCATTTTACTTTATCCCTTTCCCAACTTATAATTACTTTTGCTCACGCTTAGTAATCTGTTTTTCATTGTCTTTACTATATTTATTTACTTGCTCAAGTGGTTGCTGTGAAATTTATTGTGTACCTTATCTTTTTGTTATACTGAAGATGTGTGATTTGTTATATTTTAATTTATGCTGGATAGTTATTTTTAGGATGTATAAAGAGGTACAGATTTCATTGTTGTTGTTGTTATTAGGTGTCATGGAGTCAGTCCAGACTCATAGTGACCCCATGAATAATAGAATGAAACAGTGCTTGGTCCAGCATGATCCTCAAATCATTATGCTTGAGCTCACTGTTGCAGACACTTTGTTAATCTGTCTTGTTGAGGATCTTCCCCATTCTCACCGACACATTATTTTGCCAAGTATGGTGTCCTTCTCCAGGACATAAGCCTGATAACATCTCCAAGGTATGAGAGACAAAGTCTTGCTATCCTCCCTAATAAAGAGTTTTCTGGCTGTACTTCTTCCCAGACAGATTTGTCCATTTCTCTGGTAGTCCATGGTATACTCCCTATTCTTTCTAATCTCATAATTTTTCTTTTTTAAATTTTATTTTGATTTTGGTGAAAGGTTACAGAGCAAATTCATTTTGCATACAGCAGTTCACATACATTTTGTCTCGTGACATTGACTATAATTGCCCACAATGCAACAGCTCTCCTCCCACTTCCTCTCCATAGCCACGTCTTCCCTCTTCCCTCTTCTGTATTCCTGCCCCCTGAGCTGTCTCCCTGTGCATACCAAGCCCTTCTATCCTCCCATGTTTGATCTCTCCAAGGAGTGTATCTACCCAGTGTGAATGTTCAGCTCATTTGCCTGTCTTTTGTTTGGCTGGAAGCCACAGGAGTGGGTTTAATTCCAGACCTGAAGGGCAGTTAAGGGGCCACAGCCTCAAGGGTTCCATCAAACCAGAGAACCTAGTCCTTTTTTTTGATTTTGAGTTTTGTTCCACATTGTTATCCCAGTCTATCCAGGATCTCCTATGTAGATCCCCCTCCTAGTGGTTGATAGTGGTAGCCAGGCACCATATAGTTCTTCTGGTCTCATAGTTGTATAGACTGAGGATCACATGGTATACCAGTCCCTTGGACTAATTGTTTCCATGCATGTTTGGTTTTCTTCATTCTTCTTTGCTCTGAACAAGGAGAGACCCACTGTTGCATCTAGATGGTTGTTTGCAAGCTTTTAAGTCACTACTCGCCAAGTAGGATGTGGAACAATGTTTTTGTGTAGTATGTCATGCCAATTGAGCTTCATGTCCCCTGCAACCATGGTCCTGAGCCCACAGTTCTAACTACTCACTCCCTCTGGGTAGCTGCCTGTGGTCAAGAAGTGATTACAACCTTGTCCCTTGTCAGCTCTACCATATACCTAGAAATTCTTACATAACATACAAATACACTTGTAGAAACACTGTTTGCCAACCCTATGCATGGTCATGAGCACACTCCCCACTGCATAGACATACCTAATTGTTTAACCTGTCCACCCATCTCTCCAGCCATATATCACTGACCAAACCCTGTAATTTAAATGTTTCAATTCTGCTTCTTTCATCTTTATTCATTATCCAGCTTTTGTATGGTTATCAGGCAACTGAAAATACCATGGTATGATTAAGGCACACCTTAGTCCTCAAAGTTCCATGTTCATTTTTTAACACTTTGAAGAGATCTTTTATAATATTTTTGTCCAATGCATTGTCATTTGATTTCTTGACTACTGCTTCCATAGGTATTGATTGTGGAGCCAAGTAAAATGAAATTCCTAACAACTTCAATATTTTCTCAAATATTTTCACATTGCATTACTTATTCAGAATTATTTATTGTTCATATGTCATCTGTTAGTTTGTCATACTATGGTGGCTTGCGTATTGTTGTAATTCTGGAAAACATACCACCAGTATATTAAATATTAGGAGTGTTATTCAAGATAAGAAAGATTTCAGTGGTACTTCCAGACTAAGACAGACTAGGAAGAGGGACATGACAACCTACTTCTAAAAATATTGGTCAGTGAAAACTGTATGAATAGCAGTGGAACACATTTTATACAGTGCCAGAAGATGAAGCCTTCAGGTTGGAAGACACTCAAAATACAGCTAGGGAATGTCTGCCTCCTTAATGTAGAGTTGAGCTCAATGAAAGATGGAGGCCCTTCATTTGTTGATGTGGCAAGACCCAAAATGAGAAGAAACAGCTGCAAGTTTCCATTAGTAATCAGACTATATAATGTAAAATGTATGAATTTAGGAAAAATTGGAAGTTGTCAAAAATAAAATGGAATGCACAAAGATTGATATCCTATTGTTCTTGTTGTTATTAGGTTCCATTGAGTCATAGTGACACTATGTACAACAGAACAATACACTGCCTGGTTGTATACCATCTTCATAATTCTTGCCATAGCAGAGCCCATTGTCGCAGCCACTGTGTCAATCCATCTCATTGAGAGTCTGCACCTTTTTCTCTGACCCTTCACTTTACCAAGCATGATATCTTTCTCCAAGGAATTGTCCCTCTGACAATGTGACTAAAGTAGGTAAGACTAAGTCTGACCATTCTCACTTCCAAGGAGCATTCCAGCTGTACTTCTTCCAGGAAAAAAGGAACTTGCAGTGAATAAGTTGTTGGTCTCACAAAATTCTATCACGTGATCTCCGGTGTCTTTTCTATCACTAAGATCGTACTTTCCAACTACCGGTGATTCTACTTTGTTTCCAACTCTCCCATTCTAACCACCAGTAATAACCCATACATCTTGATTACATGTTTTGTCAATTTCAGACTGTGAAAGGTGGTAAAAACCTTCCATTTCTTCATCTTTGACTTTAGTGGTTGGTGCATTAATTTGAATAATAACAGTATTAACTAGTCTTCCTTATAAAAACTCAAACTCAATACCATCTAGTTGATTCCAAATCATAGTGAACACTCCTTGGGTTTCCGAGGCAGTATCTCTACAGAAGTAGACTGCTCAATCTTTCTTCCATGTCCTTGTAGGTGGATGGATATTACCCTATCACTGACAGCGTTGCACTTCAAGATGTATCTTGAAATATTCTTTATGATGATGAATTCCATACTATTCTTCTTCAATTTTTTATTCCTGGTATAGTAGATCATATGATTTTCTGATTCAAATGGCTAATACCAGTCCATTTAACCTCACTAATACCTAGGATATCTATCTTTATGTGTTCCATTTCATTTTTGACAACTTCCGATTTTCCTAATTTCATACTTCATAAATTCTACATTCCAATTATCAGTGGATGTTTGCAGCTGTTTCTTGCCATTTTGAGTTGTGCCCCTTCAGTAAATGGAAGTCCTGAAAGCTTTATTCTCTCCATGTCATTAAGGTAAACTCTACTGTGAGGAGGTAGCTCTTCCCTAGTTGTATACTG